AATCATGGAGAAGGGAAGATTTGAACCCAGGGCCGGTGACTCTGAAGGGCAGACTTCTCATGGCACCAGCAGAGGGAGGTCTACCCACATTTCCATCCCCTTCCGCATCTGCCAGCTGCAGCATCTGTGGAACAGTGGACTGCGCTTCAGAGGGCAGAGCTTAGTGTTTTGGTTGGCAGCGGGGACGTTCAGGCAGGGAGTGAGGCCAGGAACCCAGGAGGAAAGAGGAAAACCCCTGAGGGGTGCCAGGGCTGGGGGAGGTGGAGGCCTGACCTTCTCCTGCAGCCTGCCAGGGCCCCAGGGGGAGGAGGGGAGCAAGCAAAGGAAATCCTCCCTCCTCCCTGGCCTTGGCTCCCCTCCCTGGGGCCTCAACCCCAGCCCAGCCCCAGGCCTAAAGGTCTGAGGCTGAGCTCAGTCCCCACAGGCTGGGTTGACCTGCAGGCTGGGTGACCCCCCCAAAGCCTCAGGTCTTTGCTGTCCCACCCTTATATGGGGACCTTGAACACCTCCAGAGATCTCCAAGGGCCTTTCTAGCATGGCTTCTAAAACCCATTAGCCACCTGCTCTCTCCACATCCCCAAGAACAAGGCCGAGGTGAAAGTGTTCAAGGATAGAAGGACATGTCCCACAGTCCTTCCTGCTCCAGCTGGGGAAGGGCCCTCTCTGCTCCTAGGGCAAAATCACTGGGAGTCCTGGCAGTGAATTGTCCTCCTGGGGATTGGTTTAAAGCTTAATGAGGGTGCACAGCAAGGTTAGCTGCCTGCTCAGTATGCCCCCCCCAGGGCCTCTGCCATCTTTGGTAGTGACCAAGGGGTCCTGGATAAACATACTCAGTAATGACCCAAACTTCACCTAGAACAACCCCCGGTGCCACAGGGTCAGGGCCACAGAGGCTTCTTCACACAGAGCTTGGGGAGCATGGCTAGGACCCCTGTGTGGTCCTCGTCGCTGATCATCCAACCCTTGTTCCCACCCAGTGTGCCAGTGGGAGCCCCTCTGCCTGTCCTCAACCCCCACCTCAAGGCAGGGAGCCCCTCTCCTGGAAGCCTTCCCTGATGGGCCAGGTCTCCTCTGGACCCCAGAACTCTGAGTGTCCTTGGGTTGCAGTACTGGCCTCTACGTGGAGACTGCTGGAGAGGGTGGGATCTAAGCAGAACTCAGAAGGAAGGAAGGACACTTCAGGTGCAGGGACAGTACAGAGTAAGCCTGAAAGGCCAAGAGGGAGTGATCGGGGCTCCTAGAGCAGGATCCCTAGCTCTGGCCAGCAAGTTAGGCCCCGGCTGGGCTCCATGCAGCGGTGCTGGTAGGCCCTGCTGCCCTCCAGGGACCCAGGACAGCAAGACACTCCCCAAACAGTTCACCAACCAGGCCATTTTCCAAAACACAAACACAAACCTCCAAAACAAATCTTTGGCCCCAGTGCCAGGGCTGGAGGTTGGGGGACAGCACTGATTCTGGGACTCCCCTTTCCCTGGGGTTGATAAAAAGTCCACCCAGAGAACTATGGGGCTAACCAATCCCAAGCCCACACTACTGCTCTCCAGCCTTCTGTAGTTAGCTCTTTGGCCACACTTAGAAATTTCATATGTTCCTAGTGCCGGCATCGTTTGATGGCTCTAATCAAGACATCTAGGCTGTCACCATCTCACTGCGTGACCTTAGGTAAGTTCCTTCACGACTCTGTGCCTCAGAGAAAACTGTAGATTCTAATGAATTTGGCAGAGAAGGTGGCCAGACCTAGGATAGGAAGAGAGTCTAAGTACCCAAAGCAGCTGCAGTGAGGTGGGGGTGGGGGGCTGGAGGAGGAGTGAAGGAGGATTGGGGCTAAGGGTGGAAGGGCTGGGAGGGGAGACCGCCAGGTGGGACCCACCCTCATCACACCTGCTCATTGTTTGGGGAAAAGTTACTCTGAGAGCTGAGAGCCAGAGCTCTCCAAGAATCAATCATGCCATAATTAGGGTCATTATGAATCTTACACAATGATGTCAGGGCCTCCTATTTACCCAACACTTCTGTCCCAAGAGACCTCGATTGCTCTTTCTCTGGGAGAAAGGCTGGAAGCCAAGGAAGACCAGATCTTACTCCTGTGTGGCTCTCCAGTTCTCCCACCCTCCTGGCTGGCCTCCCTAGGAAATGGTCCCCCAGCAGGAAGGGGCGGTGTCCTCCCTGAAACTGCGCATTCAGGGGACCATCTGTCCTGTCCCTCCAGCTCTTTTGCTCCCTTACTGTGAATTTCAGGGGCCTCCCGCCTCCCCTGGAGCTGAGGGGTTCACCGACAATCAGATGTGGACCTCTCTTCCTTGCAGGGAGACAGCCTCACTGTAGCAATAGCCGCTACAGTCACGAGCACACCACAGTGCTTACAGTTTACAAAGAGCTTCCACAGCTGTCCGGCCACTGAAGTGTCACACCAACTCCCAGGCCATCACCAAGATCCCCACCTCACTCACAGACAAGGAAGCAGAGGATGCTGGAGGCAGGACTCACCCGGCACCAGGCTTAGGACCAGGTGTCTGCTGAGCCTCTCCCTCAGGTAAGGCCCTTAGGACAGAGACCTGCATGTGTGGGACACACCTGGGCAGAGGCCAGGCTCAGACCTCTCTGATTCCAGTCAGCTTCGGCTGAGTAGTCGTCAAGAACAACCTGACCTCACAGAGAGCAGAGCTGAGCATCTCAGAGCTCAAACTCCCAAGCGCCCCAAACCAGTTTTAGAATTACATCACCCAAGACCGTACTCTCAAGAAATCCTGGAATAATCCAGTTGGGGTCTTAAGACCATGTCAGCCTGAGCAAAGTCCTAGAGCCATTCTCTCTAGCCTCCTCTCCCTAGTGGTGGGCCCAACCTTCCAGTGGGGCCACAAGTGTGTGCACTCCCAGCAAGGCTCTGCGGGACCTCTAGGTTCTCTCTAAGCCTCCAGGATTGTAGGGAGGTCTTCTGCCCCACCTCCCCCACTGGCACTGCCAGGTTCCCCCTGGCCCAGGTGGAGCCAGCAAATAGGCCTAAGTTCTCTGCTCAGGCCTCATGGGGAGCCCCAGGGCCTAGGGAGCAGACTCACCATCCTCCACCCCTCTAGTTGATTCCAGGGGCCTTCCCCAGGAGCCTCAGTCACAGGGCCTGAGGTGACTTTTTCTGATGCTTCTCCCTGGGCCCAAGAGAAGGGGGGCCCCCTCCCAATGGGGACGGGGAGGAGGAAGCTGAGTCTAGCAGGGCCTTGCACCAGGGCCTTGTCTCTGCCTGGTGTTTACCCCTGCAGGATGGGGCTAGTGATTTATTTTATTTACTTATGTAAACTAGCAGAGTTGCTATACAAACAGGCTTCCCAAGCAGGCCCTGGGATGGAGGTCCTACCATCTAAGCAATCCTTTCACTTCCTTTCCTGACACCTACCTCTCCAGCCTGCCTTCCTGCTGGCCCTCCTCCTAGTCTGTGCTCCAAGGACACCAGGCTACACAGCTGTCCCACCTCCACGCCTGTGCCCAGGCTGGGCAAGCTGCCAGGAAAGCCCTCCCCGACCCCAACCAAATCTTGTCCATCTGAACTAATGGACTCTGTGCAAGGCTTAGTCTGATTGCCCCCAGAGGTCCAGGGTGTCCTCCCTCTGCACTCATCATCTGACAGAGCTCTTGAGAACACTCACAGGCCTCAGCACTTGGTAATCATCTGCACCCTGGCTGCCCTACCCCCAGGCTCAGAGCTTTTCCAGACTGAGGCTTCTTATTCAAGGTGGCCAAGATTTTCTGAAGACCTGTAGTGTCTGTTGCCCTGTGCCCAGTGATGGTGACAAAAGATACCCCTGCCACCCCCCACCCTGTCCCCCGTTCACTTTCAGCTAGAGGAGTCTTGTATAGGGGGTCTGTGTCCCCTGCATTGGGCCTAGCACCAAGAAGGTGCCTATGTGCTTGACAGTTAGAAAACCTGGTGAAACATGCAAAGGAAGGAAAGAAGGAATTAATCAGAGCTGTGTAAACCACACGACTGCAGAACCACTCCTGAGCCTGAGCTGAAGTCCGCCTTTGAATAATAATTAGGCTTTTTCCAATTTACAGGAAAGAAAAAAAAAAGTTACTAAAAAAAGTCTCAAGTACTTTTCTCCCACAAATTTTTCTTAAACCTCTGATATCTGTACATTTCTGCACCAGATCTAGTGCAAATGACCTCAGGTTTAGCATAGGATCCTAATTTCATCCCTGTCATTAACATTGCTCTTCTTCACAGTATTCTGCAAAAAGCAGAAGTCTCTGCTTCTGGGCATGTCTCAGGACCCAGAACCTAAATTTTTCTTCACCTCTTTCATATGACTTCTTTCTTTGGTGACCAGAGAAAACTGACCTTACTCAAGTGCTGAAGAAGAAAATCCCAGGAGCTGGCCAGCCCACCTTGAAGGTCCAAGCCAATTCCATGACTCAGGGCCTCCAGTGCTACCACTTGCTATTCATTCCTTGGGCTGAAGCACTGTTTTCTTTAGGGTTCTAAATTAAATTTAAATTCTCTCTTAAAACACAAATCTTACCTGGAATTAGGAGCCCATTAAACCCCAAATTGGAGGTCAAAGAAATTTAGTTACCACTTGACTCCAGAGAGGCAGTGAATCCCAGGGCTTTGAACAGACATCCCGCTGGGAAGGAGACTCATCTGGCTCTACCAAGCGCCTAACTGAGCAAATCCTTACACCTCTCTGCCTCACTTTCCTCTTTTATAATGGGGGATCATGACACCAACCCTGTGGGTTTTTTTAAGGACTAAATGAACTATTACACAGAAAGCCCTTAGACAAGTGCCTGTACATGTGCATTGTCCCAAGCAAGAGACCCCCACCCAGAGCTGTGGGTCTTATAAAATGGGTCAATAGTTCCTGCTCCTCCTGTTTTTCCATAACTGTTCTTCCCCTTCAGGAGAGGCAGGCATCGCATAGAAGCCAGGGGGCTACTCTCTGCGGCCGGTTTCCACCTCCTTTCTCTCTTCTTCCTTCATTTCTTTTTTCTTTACCCATAAGACATACCAGTGACTGCTAGCTGAACTCCTGAGGGTGTCCTGTCCACGGAGGTGGAGATGTCACTTCACTGGAACACCTAAGGGGACAAAAACAGTGAGATCCTTCATCACTCTGCCCTGCCTTCTACCCTCCACACCCTGCCCTTAAGGAGACCCTAGCCTGGGCCCACCCTGTGCTAGATGGAGAGTCCAGTGATGGGTCACGCTGGTCCCTGCCCTGGGGAAGCCATGAATCTGGTGGCTTATCTAGTCCTGGCCCATGGGACCTGGAGCATGCAAATCTTTTTCCACACATGCTGCCCACAAACCAAACAATCCCAAATCCAGACAGCATGCTTCTCAAACCACCTGTGCCTCTCTGCAGGGCCCACGGAAGCAGGACCCAAAGCCCAGCCACCCTGGGGGCAGAGGCCCTCTTCTGCTGCCAGGGACCTGCTTCTCTGAGGTAGCTGCCAGACCAGCTGTTCTTCCAAAGCAGCCGAAGGGGGGAGGGCCGGTGGGCTGGAGGCGGGATCTGGGGCACCGCAATTATGTGCCTGAGTGACTCATGCATCACCTCCCCCATCCCTGAGCTCCCACAGCCAGCAGGGCAGCCCCCTGCCCAGGAACTGCGGGGAGAGATGGTAGTCTCAGGACATGGGGAGAAGAGGGGAGGGGAAGGGGCTTGGGGTCAGCACTGCAGGCTTCAGAGGTGCTGCTACTTTGCCTATTTGGGGACACTGAAACTGGCAGAGCCAAGGCCTTCCTATGTTACCCAGAGAGGCAGAAGCAGAGCCAGGGCTGGGACACAGGGCCATGGTGTCTCAGCCTAGTGCCCAGCCCTGGGCCTGCGTCAACATGAGAACTTTCCCCAACCCATTCAGACTCTGGAAGCAAAAAGCACACCTCTGACTTAGCTTCATACCAGGCACCCAAAGTTGGGCTCAGAAACAGCTTAGACAGACCCCAGAGCACCCTAGCCCTACCTCTGCACCTCCAGTGCCCAGGTTTTCCACCATGCCTGAAATCCCTGCACTTCATTTACAAAAACACACTTGTTTCCTTTATTCCCACAATGATCCTAAGGCCTAAGTGACAGGAGAATATAAATAGACTATGGCTTCTCAAACTTCAGTGTGCACACAAACCACTGGGGATCTTGCTAAGCTGCAGTCTGACTCAGTAGTTCCAGGCTGGGACCTGAGAGTCTCCATTTCTGTCTTGCTCCCAGATGATACCAATTCTGCAGGTCCATAGACCACAACTGAGCAGCGAAGATATTATTGAGAGCATGATTCTGGGGTTACACTGCCCAAGTTAGAATCTTGACTTTCATGGTGTGAACTTGAGCAAGTTACTTCACCCCTCTGCATCAATCTCCTTATGTACAAAATAGTAATAATAAACCTACTCCATGGGGCTGATGTGAGGATTAAATTAGCTAACGTGTGAAACACCACTTAAAGTTTATTTAAATTTTAAAGCAGAGGTTCTTAGAGGTAGGCAGACCTCACAAGGTGGTGAAGTTAGAATTCAAACCCAAATCTTTCTTTCTGTCTCTTGTCTCTCTCTCTCTCTTTCTTTTGTACTGGGGATGAACCCAGGGATGTTCTACTGCTGGGCTACCTCCCCAGCCCTTTTGATTTCTTATGTTGAGACAGGGTCTCCCTACATTTTCAGGGCTATTCTTGAACTTGGGCTCCTCTTGCCTCAGCCTCCTGTGTAGCTGAGATTCTAGCTGTGTGCCATCAGGCCTGGCTTACACCCAAATGTCTTAATGTAAACCCTGCCACATCAAGCTGCACAAAAATGTCACAGCCAGCAAGTCCTACACCCATTAGATAGACATGGACACTGAAGCCCAGAGAAGGGCAGGGTTGATGTCCATGTCTCCTGGCCCGGTGCTCTTTCTGCCACACCTCACTGTCCTGTAAGGAAGAGAAAGTATCACCGAGTCTCCCTGAGTGGTACCAGCTCTGCTGTCAGCCCTACCTGTGAGAGCCCCTGCGCACAGGCTGGGTGACGCAGAACAATCCAATCCCTGTCTTCCATTTCCGGTCTCCTACCTCCAGCCTGGGTCAGGGCTCAGTCTCAGGGTCACCCAGCTGGGGTCCAGTCACAGAGTGACATGCTGGGGCCTGGCTCCATCCCAACCTTGACTCCCCAGCACAGGGCCAATGGGAGCCTGTGAGTCACTTGAAGGAAGTGCTTGGCCCCAAACAGGAAGTGGCCCTTTAAGCTGAAACCCCCCCTGCAGGATGGCCCTAGGACCCTGGGACAGGAAGTAGAAGTTGATGAAAGAAGGAAAGCTGATGGGACACAGCAATACCTGTTCAGATTTTACCAGAAACTCAAACGTGGCCTGCACCCTCTGCTTTGGGACACCTGGCTTGGGGGCTTTCCTGCTGTGGCCTGGCGGTTATCTCAGGTGTATCAGTGCCCTTCTCTGAACCTCTGTAGGATCATGGGCTGCACTAAAAGCCTCCTGTGGCCTGGCGTTCTACAAAGAGATGAAGCACTGGTGCAAGAGCATTGGTGCAGGTTGTTTATATGAATGAACAAACACACCTGAATGAAATGGCTGAATAAAGACACCTCAACTCCAGCGGCAGCACAGGACCCATCCTTTATCTGTTGCTAGTTGTATGATAGAGGGTTTCTCATTGGCCAGAAGACCCACTCCCTGAACCACCCTTAGATGGGGAAAGGAGCCCCCCCCTCCCACCCCACAGGTCACAAATGCACACACGTCTAAAGAACGCACACAGGAGTCCTGTCACGCGACATCCACGTGACCTGTAATCCTAAACATTTGCTTTCCTGACACCACTCAGGCCCCAGCCGAACTCTTCTCCATTTCTTGAACCTGAACAACAAAAGGTGATTCTGTCCAGATGCCAGGAAGGTCATTTGCTGAGGGGGGAGGATGCTGCCTCAGAGGCGAGGGAAAGCGGAGGGGCACAGAGGGGCAAAAAGAGTCAGAGGGAAGACAAATTAACTTGTCAACTCCTGTCTCTCTGACAGCGATGTGCAGTAGCTTCTTGCATAACCAAGTATCAGTTTTCCAGTAATGCTGAGCATCCTTTTTTTTTTTTTTTGGCATTTCTTCCTGTTCCATTTTGTGGTTCTGAAAGTACTCATGAATTAGTGTGGAATTTACAAAAAATGCACGTGTTGGCTGAGGAATCTTACAGTATTTAACAATTCCTATTGTTCCAACATAACATAAAAACGTGATACTAGTTTTTAAATTGGCAATGAGATGGACAATGAACACTACAACTATGAATAGTCTCTCTCTCTTTTTTGTGTGTGTGGTGCTGGGGATTGAACCCAGGGCCTTCTGCATGCAAGGCAAACACACTACTAACTGAGCCACATCCCCAGCCCTGAATAGTCTCATTTTTATAAAATCTTTAAAGTTTTTGAATTGGTATTTCATCTCTAAATAATTTTATTTAAAACCTGATGTCAATTGATGTATATTGTTTTAATTTTAACAGATATTATAAAAAACAATTTTTGAAAATTTAAATAAATGTTCCTGTGTTTACATTGGATTGGACATACGTTCAAATTCTACACATTTATTTTGGTGCTGGGGATGGACCCCAGGGCCTTGTGCAGGTTAGGCAAGTATTCTGCCGCTAGGCTCCACCACTGGCCCTCAACTTTATATACTTTTAAATATAATCCTATTTTACTTCTAGCCCTTTAGGTTATTGCCATTAATAGAGCACAAATAATAGGAAAATCTTGATTATAACAATATAATTAGTGATTTTGATAAAATGAAGATAAAACATGTTCTGAAATAAGTAATAATAAATTATAAGTCTTAATATTTATCCAAATATCCCCAGCCCATCAATAAACCAAGCAGAGTTGAGCAACGATAACTTCAGATATCCTTGATATTTTGTCACTTCAGAAGGCCGAGGCAGGAGGATTTTGAGTTCAAGGCCAGGCTCAGCAACTTAGCAAGGCCCTAAACAACTTGGTGTGACCTATCTCTAAATAAAATATCTAAAAAAGGGCTGGGGATGTGGCTCAGTGGTTAAGTGTGCCTTGGTTCAATCCCCAGTACAACAAACAACAAAAAAACTATACCTTTATACATGTGGTTCATTTTACATAATGAAGGTATGTTTTTCAAGGTGGGAAGGTCACACTTGTTTTATTTAACAGATTTAATAGGCTGTCACTCAGCTCTGTTCCTCCCATGGCAGGGGGTGCTTCACTGCACGGGGTGGGCAGAGACGGGATGGAGTTTTAGTTCCTGGAATTCATACACTGACCCCTGGCCTGTCTAGACGATCACAGGTGGAGTGACCAACACACATTCCCTAAGCTTCCATGCACCCAGTGAATGGATGGGGCTCAGGATGGGGGAGCCCAAGGTTTAATGGTGTAGACAAAGATGGAGAGGCCAGGGGAGTCCTTATTGGTGGGTCAGTTGGCATAGGGCTGGAGCCCCCTGGGGGTGAGCAGACTTGTTTCCCTGGCACCCCCACCTCCAGCCCAGCAGGGACCTGACCCTTTAGACCAGTTCCTCCTCTGGGGTCACCACCCATGTCCACCCTCACCCCTGGGGCCTGTAGGTTCCCAGCTTTGCAGTGGATGGGACATTAGCCCATCTGAACACAGAGCCGTCACCCAGCAGCTGCCCACAGTGCTGACCAGGTGAGCCACTGGGGACACAGCAGTGAGGACCTCTTGGCTCAGTTCACCTTCACATGGTGAGGCATTTAATGAACCCAGGCAAAAAGGGGCCAGGGCTGGGGGCCAGGGCAGAGCTGGGAAACGTCAAGGTGCTCACTTAACCAGCCACTTGCCTGGGAGCAGGCCCTCACCCTCTCGCCTCCACCCTTTTGCTGTGTGGTCACGGGCGAATCACCTGACTTCTCTGGACATCAGCTTTGTGACACAGGGATCAGCATCATGAAGTTGCCTCACTTTATGTGAGCAATTTACAGTTCTGCTTAGGAACATGGGACACAGAGGCTCAGAAAAGGGAGGTGACTTAGCCCTAGCAGGTCACCTAGCAGGTCATAGAATCTGGATTGGGATTCACGTCTCTCATGGTCTATAAGGATAG